TGCTTCACATTTTTGTCAAGTGTTCTCTAAAACAAACCTATGCCCAGCATCTGTCAAACAGCCAGACACTTCCAGGTTTGACTCCAGTGCCTTAGAGCAAAGGCCAAAGTTTCTGAGGAACAGAATTGCTACTCTTTACTTAAGCACAGCTGTCTCATTGAAGTACTTGGTGAATGATTGCAGATGTGAATGTCAGTGATTAATTAAAGAGACACAGAAATTTGTTGTATTTCTGAAAGTAAATCTATTCAGATAACGTTTGTGATCTGCATTCTAACATTGCTCCTGTGTTTCTTTTCAGTCACTTAAGTTTCACTACAAATACATCTTCGATTTAACGACTGGCTGCCTCAAAGTGTGGTCCTCAACAAAAAAAACGAAAATAAACAACTACAACAAAAATTAGATGTAATTCTCACGGAATTCAGCAAAAAAACTGCTCTTAGACTGAAACCAGATTGGTTCTGCATAAGTTATTTCTTCTTAACACCTCAAGGCCTAATCCATGTTCCACTAAACAATCAGTGAAAGGACCTGTTGATTTAAATGGGCTTTGGATACAGGTTTTTCTGTGTTATTTCCCCTTTTCTTTCATGTTGAACACCATATTTTAAATTCCGTAAATTTTTTTAAAGAATTAATTTACTATAACAGAAACAACGTTTCCTGCCTTTTCATGGTTTATGTAAGTTACAGGATTATCTTTTTTTTCCCTCTCAAAAACCCTGATGACTTTTGGCATACTTTTCATGAAGTTTTTATAAAACTCAATGTATTTCAAGCGAAGAAAAATACCTTCTTCTGTGTCTGACTTCAAAATACCCTTAATAAAGTTTTAAGGATCTGAATATTAGCAACTATGTCTAAGTAATTGTTAATGTTCATTGGAATTCTACTGATGTTCTTTCATGTTTCTGTGAACCATAAGAAAAGTTAAGCAGATAAAACCAAAGCAAACTTCCTTTCTTTTGTAGCTGAAAACTTATTTTAGTATTTTGCTCTGCATATGAAATGTATCATTGAAATACATTCAGTGAGGAGGAATCTGTTTAACTCACCAAAGGCTTTTCAAACAGTCATCTTCCATTTAACCCTGAAAACCTATCATGAAAGAAATTTTCATGCTGCAAAGAGCAATCCTTCAAAGAAGTTTATAGACAATCCAGGCCCACCAATTAATGAGAGAATATTAAGGCTGTGTGTGTGTAAAGGCAGGTAGCGTATTAAAAAAATGGGTTCAGTTTGCCCACAAGTGCAGTGGGAAATTCATTACAGCAAGATTGTCTTAATTGGTACACTGATGAAAAGAATATTTTTCAAATTTTTCAGAATATTGCTCTTAATTGGAATAGAATCACTGACATTAGTTTGATAATTGCCTTCTGACTTAAAAAAATGCCAGTATAAACTTAGATAAGCATTGCTTCTTAAACTGCAAAGAGCCAACTAATGAAGGAGATCATAATTTATTAGTTTTCCTGAATTTTTATCAATTTTATTTGCAAAACCTATTAATAAAATTTATATATATTCACATACCTCTCATCTTTTTACAGTTAAATTTGAAAATCTGCTATAAAAACAAAATAAATGCAGACAAGCAAAATTGTTAATTGTGTTTCTTACATATTAATGGGATGAGTCACTTGTAAAGAAAATATAAGATTGACAGAGATCTAAATGCCACAGTCTCATTGCAGGATCATCTGTGGTTGCATGAAATTGGAGGAAAGGTCTTTCTAGCAACTGATCTCGTTAACCAGTGTTACCTGATCTCTGCTATGTGCCTCTATATGATTTCCTGCACAAATTGTTGAGCTGCTCACATTACTGATTTAAGGAGGATAGTGCAGCTGCACTGAAGACACTTTAACAACTCCATGGCATTAGCAAAAGTCCTGCTCTTTGGGAATTTTTGCTCCATGTGGCTGTGGAAATGAAATTAATGCTCCAGTCAGTTCTACTGACAATATGTAAACCTACATCTTTGCTGTTTTTTCCAAATCCGTGTGTTCTGTTATAATTTCAGAATAATTGTAATTTCCACAGCTAAAGGTCTGTTTGTTGCTGTCTGGTGGCAACTGATATAATATTGTATCATGAAAAGTATAATTATACTTACTATATATTTTGTATTAAAATCTAGTTCTGTTACTTCCAATGGAGAAAATAATTATCTGTCAGTTTTGCATGCACTAATCTGTTCAATTAATTGACTCCTGGTTTGCCAGTTTTAAATCTAAGGTTATTGTTCCTATTAAAAAACCCCACCTAATTCTTTGTACTCCAATTCAGAAAAAAATTAACATTTTTGCTTTTAGCACAGACCAAGAAAATGTGTTTCCCTTGCTTAGTAATTTTCATGTGTAGGCATCCATTTCAGGAAGTAAAAGAAGGAATAGGTGGAAAAATTAATGCCAATTTTTTCCCCTGAGGTTTTCCTTGATTTGTCAGCTTGCTAAATCTTGCTACTTTGTAAGGTTATTTTATTAGCCAACAGGCACAATATAAACCTACCATAAGTGCCAGCAAAAAACAGCTTGCATGCTACAGTGTTATTTGTTAGCCAGTACCTAGAAAATCACTAACACATTTTTAGAAAGGAACAAATTTATCATGATTTTCCCTCTTTATCTTTCTTCCTTTATCCACATTGATCAGCTTCTCTGCATTTGAGTTTGAGAATGAACAGTTGAACAAGAATATTTCCAAGAGCTACTATGTACTTGCTCTTTTTTTTTTTTTTAAGCTTTATATTATAAATATAATGTCTCTTTTTCCCTCCTTTGCTGAAAAGTTTGGTGGATTCCTTTGACTGAGAAAATTCCTGGCTTCCACAGAAAGCTTTAGATTTGTTAAGTTTTATTTATTACAGGAAAATCCTAGTACCCAGAAATGCAAAGGCAGGAGTTCAATTTTCTAATTTTAATTTTCTATTAATAAAACAGCAACAACTGTTGCAAGTTAGGCAACTTTTTCACTATAGTCTACCCTAAGATAATGTTTGGGTCTGGAAATATGAAAACAAGGACATCTTCATGCTGCTTTCTGTCACAAAACACATTATAACAAAGTTCTTTAATCTGCTTCCATTTAAATGGTTATTTGTGATCTGCTCCTCCTTATTTGTGTTTTGGTTTTATGTTGGGTATTCTTCTCACTGGTGGTAAGCAAGCACAAAACCCATTCAAGAGATATTTCCTGAATTGTTTAATTTGAAGCACTTTTCCCACTAGTGGAATAATCAAATTTCTGGAGATTTTATGGATTTTTTTTAATGAATGCAGAGTTTGTTTTATTCCCATATTTTGGGTGGGGTTTAATGATTATAGATAGATAGCATGTGCAACTCCTTGATTCTAGTCTGACAAAATAAATCTGGAGAGTTTCCAGCAATGTCACAATTTATCCCTAAGTTTTAACTTGTTATTTAGTTTTCTGAGAGTTTAATTCCCTTTTTCCATGCTCTTTTTTTTCTTTTTTCTAAATTGTTCATGGTTTCATTCCTGTCTGCACTCTGTGACAGAGTGAGCACAGGGTGTGACTGTGTTTTTCTTTCCTTTCAGCTGACTTTGAGTTTTATCTCCACAGTTTCACTTCAGTTGTACATTGAGCACACAGCATGAATCTTAGAGCATGTCCTGTCTCCTTCAGCACTGTGCCAGGACATCAGAATCCCAGCAAAGATGAGAAATCCTCTACAAGAGCTGGTGCCTACAGCTTCCCTAAAACCTTCATCATTTCTTGGCTCTCCAAGACTACTTTTGTCTGGGCAGGGCTGTTCATTGCTTTATAACAATCTTCAAGGACATCACTGAAAAAGCTCTGGTGGTTATCCCTTCTCATAAAACTTATTCAATGCAAAGAATCCATATATGGTTAATAACATTCATTACTGTATCTTTGGACCTCTGGCCTTGCAAATTTTTAGGTGATTGGTTATCAATTCAACATACGATGTCTGTGAGAGTATCTCAGAGAAATTACCTAATTTTCTGCTTCTTGGTGCAGCAGTGCTTTCTGATTTCTATGAAAAGAAGCCACCCACCTGCACAAACAGAATCATCCACTTGAGCAGTCACTCCAACTCCAGCCCCTCTGTACATGTCTGAGGAGAATATTTTGCCCTCGCTAGCATAGTACCTGATATTTTCACTGTCTCTGATCTCTGCTCTTTATGACAGACCTGAGACACCTGTTGGGAAGAACTAATGCACAGAAAACAGTACTGGATTGCTGGGCAGGTTATTTTGCAGAGTGCCCAGGGGTTCAGCTTCTGCCCCCACTGCCAAAGCAGTGCATTGGCCATGAAGTGCTAGCCACATACTCCTCTGTCCTTCCCAAAGATCCAGGTTCTGCAGTTTAGATAGAGTCAGAGAGATTGTTCCTTTCATGTAATATTACATAGGAGAAACACATGCATGGGTTAGTGGGTATGCTGGAAAGATTTCTCCAAGTTAGTGGAGCAAAGCCTCCAGATCAGTGCACTTTGGTATCTCTCCACAGGGAAGGAGTAACTTCTTGCTCAAGGGGTTTCCTAGTTCCTAGATTAGACACTTCCTGGGGCCTCTTATTTCACTGAAATATTAACCATAAATCTAACTGGTCTGTCTTCTGATACATGTCTGGAGGAATATTAAAGGGAATTTGGTATGTTTAAAATTTGTCATCTTTGCAGACACAGCCAGCAATTGGAAATCATAGCTGAATTCAAAAATTATTCAGAAAAAGAGGGATGAGAAGCCACTGGAATAAAATGAAGACAGCAGTACATTAATGTGTGTTCAGCCTTCATAAAGGTAGCTCCTCTTACACTGCCCTCCAGCTTTTACAGTTAATTTTGGTCACCCGCTCCTTGGCACATGACACATAAAAACATACATTCCGGTCGTACACTCAACAATACTTTAGCATGAAGTTAAGAAAGAACGTCGTTCATCCTTTGTGAACGCTTACTTTTAGCTAGCAGCATTATTTATCTAAGAGAAAAGCGTGGTTACCATGGCTTTATTGGAGTGGCCTCCTCCTTGGAACTCAATGGTTCCAAAAGCGTCCGTCGGGCTGAGCTGGGTGTGCTTGCTGATGGACCACTTCTCCGACTGGATGTCATTGCGAGTAAGCCTGGTTTCATTTTTCTCGTTCTGAGTCACGGAGGCGCTCGGAGGCTGTCCAATGTGTTGGCCTGTTAGACGCCCACAGCAACACCTATGACATTAGGCAAAGGGAAAGCAAGAGTCACGTGTGTGCATAAACCGAACAGGGAAACAAACTACAAAAGGAACCCAACCCCTTTTCAGCTCTGCTGATTCCTTTCCTGAAGCCTTTCTGTGTGGAAGGAACACAGTACATATATTACCCGCTTTTTCCTGCGTCTTGTTTACTTTAGACTCTCCTGTATTTCAAAAAAATATCATGCTTTGTTCTAAATAGATACGAAATGAAATTAAAGAACATCTTCTCTTTTCTTCAAGTAACATCAGGACAGGCAATCAGCTTTTGTACGGATTACCACAAATTTTAAATTGCTAGTTTAATGCTTCTATTTGCTTTTGACAGTGTCGTGTGTCCAATTTAGGTGACTACTCAGTGCACTGAATATTGAGCTAAGAAGATAAGGAAATTAAACACAGATGCTGACCCACCCTTGATTTATCTTTTTTCTTACAAAATAAGTTTTGAAATGTAAACAAATAGTTCCCTTAGGAATCCATCACTCCAGATATAATTCAACCACCTTCTGAACAAATAAGTTTACAAAATATTTATATCTATTGTATGCATATATATATATAGAGAGAGAGACTTATTTTTTAACCAACTTTCACAATTCATACAAGTAACATGCAATTACCTATGGGGGTCTTTGGTGCTGGGTATGATGTGAACACATTCTCTCTTGTAAAACGCTCTTTCTATCCATGATTTCTGTGCCTAAAAAAGAGAAAGGAAATGCCTTGATCTCTGTTTGCTTATTGTATACAACTTACAGTGCAACTGTAGAAAAACTTCAAAGAGAAGAGAAAATTTCACTGACCCTTCAGATAAGCAGTGCATATTTTGCAGAGGGCAAACATTCCCTTAGAAGCATGGTTCCCTTCTACACCTAAGCACCCAACACAAGCTTTTAATATTCTTTTCTTATTCACTAGCCAGATGACTTTGATGCTGTTACCTTTATTCTCACAACAGAGGAAGAAATCTCTGAAGAAGAATTAACTCAAACTGTAAACCTTTCTGCACAGCAGAAGAAACACTACAGCGATTCATTAAAAACACCTCTGTTTCCATGTCAGTGATACAACTAAGCCAGCTCTAATTTAAAAAAAACCTACAGACAAACCAACCAAATTACCCAAAACATTTTTACACAAGCACTGAGAGTGCTATTAATCACAGACACAGAAACTACAGTTTCTATGTGGATATCTTAATTTTAAAATAAATAAATAAAATAATTAAAAAAATCTGTTTCTGAAACAAGACACAAAATACTTTAACATGTTGAATCAGATGATTGGCAGTTAGCCTCTAAAATAGTTCACTGGAGCTATGGTTGTTCATAACACTCAAGGTCTTCCACCACATATCCACAGAAAAGCAGGAAATTTCCTGCAGCATAGTCTTAATTGTCAGATACACAAGAAGTCTTTTTAAACAGAGAGATGGGTAGGAAAGGAAAAGGGAAAAGAGAAGAACAAACACAAAAGAAGAAAGGAGAGAATTTCAGAGTTCTGAAATATTTTTAATTATCTAGGAAATCTCACTCCATATAATGAAAGTTCTGGCAAGCTCTCTAAAACATTCTAACACGTAGAATTTTATTATTTCATTTACTATGAAGAGTTGAAGTTTTCCTTTGAAAATTCATTTGAAACAGCTTAACTTAATATATTTAAACAATAAAACTACCCACTTAGCTTCACAGCATAAACAGAACCATAAACTATGAACTATGAAAAATTATATGAGAATTCAAACAATTTAAAGGAAATACTAGCATTTTACCTCTATGAAAGGAGAACTTTTGAAATTGCCTATGTAACATAACCTCACTAACTGATGTTATTTTTTCCTATGCAAGGATATATAACTAATACCTATGTGTTACTTTTACTAACTAATGTTACATCACTATCTAATGTTACCTTTTTGTCAATTCAATCTATGTCCTGTTTTCCATGTTTAAAACCACAACCCTCTGCTTCTGAAACATGTGAAAATCACTTAGAATTAAAGAAATTTCTTGGAGTTGGTGAATGCCACCAGCACAAAATACAAAATAACAAGAATTTCTAGCTTAATCTACTACATACCAGTCCCAGTATACAGAATTTATTATTTTGCTTTTTACAGAGAAAATAATTCCTTGCTGGCTCTGGTGGTTATTGGTGCTCTTCAGCAATATTTTATTTTTGGTCTTCTTGCATTTTTATTTGAAAAATCTGCTAGACTTCATATTTTGTAGGAATAGCAGATATCTCGAATCACTTTTATTATAAGAAAAAAAAAAAGGTCTATTAAAACCATGAAATAAAACTGTATTTGTATGGTCTTTCTCACAGTAGCAAACAGAAGGTTAATGTGTTATAGAAGGCTGGGCAAGATTTGTTTTGTTTAAACAAAGTACAGTTAAAGAGAAATTCTGAAAGATAAAAAAGTTTTACATCACCTAAGAGAGATTACCTTGAGATTTTATTTAACTTCTAAATATCCTTTATTAAATATATTATTATTTTCATACTTTTCTGCAAACAATTAACTGTAGTGAATTTCCTAGCTACATAGAACTAACGTGTCTTTTTTAAAGGTGGGCACTAGCTAAATTTATCTCAAGTTCCAGTACAAAAATGTGCCATAACATGTACTTCATGGAAATATTTTCTTTGGGTATAAACGCAAGCTTTCAAAACCCAAGAAACTCCTATTTAAAATTTGTGTTCCTACTCTTCCTCATATTGTCTTTGCAAGTTGAAAAGAAACACATCTACATGAAAAAAACCAATTAATAACAAAACTAATAATTTTTCATTTGAATTTTTGTCATATTTCTTCACAGGTAATATTGCAAAAATAATAGTCAGGTTTAAAATCTCCTTAATTCATATCAGGACAAGATGCTTTCCAGCTTTTAGGTCTCAAACAATATAGTATCCTACCCGGCAGAGTTGTGATGACAAAATATGTGATTTACTAATGTCATAATTCCTTGTCCTTCCAAATTTGAAAGAAAGCATCTGGTTGCACTACCTCATGCCAGTTATCTTTCTGCAACACATATAATTTGCAATGAACTGTAAAGTTTAGAGATATAATAAATAATGCTACTTGCTGTAGAGTCTCCGTAACAGAATAACTTCAGGAAATCAACGAATCAATGAATAATTATATTCATAACTAAACTGTTTGCATGGAACTCTTGCTTATAATGCAAATTAATAAAGTAATAAAAAGTTTAGAAGACTATGGCAAAGTATTTTCAAGACTAGTAGAGCAAGGAGAAGCTTATCTTCTCTTTCTTTTATTTCATAAATACTCTTTCAGTAGTGGTTAATGAGACAATTTAAAGTCCACAGTGAATTCATAAAGTACACGCCATATTTGAATTTAGTTTATTCACAGCTTAACTCTCTGGCCAAGTCCCTCTCTTTATTAACCTCACTGCAAAATCCCACCAAGAACATTTTCTTTCTCTCTTTTCTTTACCTGAAGTCCTGGTTTAAGGACAAACTTGTATCAGATGTGGGGTTTCAGGCTGTCCCAGAGCAAATCCTGCTGCCCACGTTTCGCCGCCACGGCCGCTCATTGCGAACAACAAGTTTGTGACCGGACAAGGTGCAGCCATGCGAGAGCCAGCAGAGCCCTTGCACCCATTAGCTGCTTGGAATGTGCTGCTGGGGGATTAGCCTTGTTAAGGGTCCAGTGGGCACTCACCCATGGCCCCAGCACCACTTGGTTTGAACATCTAATCTGATGCCAAAAGAAAAACAAATCCCTTGAGGGCTTGGATTTAACTGGCACAAGCCTTGATGGGCTTTTTGTCTCCTCTGTTCTTTGCCCCTGAGAAAGCAAGCTGGTCAAAGTGTGATAAGAGGCTCTGAATTCTTAAGTTTAACTCAGGAAAACCAATCCATCAAAAGAAACACTGTACTAAGCTGGAAAGAGCTTGAGAACACAGGAGAAACTGTTAAGCTCCAAAGAATGAAAGCAGTGTGTTTATTGGGCAACTGTGAAAAATCTATACACAGTTGAAAAATATTGCAAATAATCAACAATGGCATTTTCCCAAAGAAATTGGGGTTTTGTCACTTTTTCCCACCACTATTGCTGTACTGTAGTGCATATAAATTTTCATAAACACAAACCTTTGTCTTTCAGAGACAAGCAGCTGCATTGTTTTCATCGTAATTAACAGCCAGTAACTTTAACCAAAACTTGAATATTTGCAAATATTTGGGGTCTACTTCTTTACTGTTCTCTATTGATATGAACACGTTGCTCATATGAAGGCTATTCTTGATGAACAACCTTTTCATATGAACAACACCTTAATATTTATTTTAGTACCTAGCAATAACATAGATTTAGTTACTTACTTCAAGAGTTTTCAACACATACTCTTAACCCCCACCACCATGTTTCCATTAGCTCCTCTCTACTCCCACATATGCATCCCTATATATACATCCCTTCCTTTCCTTATCATTAAGGGTGCATCTAATGTGTGAAAAATATTCTGTCCACCCTTGGTATTGATGAATACACAAGCACTGAACTGTTCTGCACGTACATCAGCTCTGATGGGCCAAGAATGGGCAAGGCAGAGAATATGCATGAACTTTTAAACTTATTACACCATCACATATGTGGAGAAGCTGGCTAATCCATGAGATTGCTTTTGTCTCTTGGTTCCCTAAGTTTTTGTGTAAAATACAGAAATGTATTTTATAAACATTAATGTATATACTAAGAATGTACATACACATACTCTCTATGTGTGTACACATACACACACACACACACATACACACACACATATTCTTTTCCAGCAAACCTGTGACCTGTGAGGTTTCTGAAACAGAGATTGCGTGCTTATCTTGTCAGATCTCTTAAACACAGGATCAGACCAAAGATGGTCTATGGAGAAGGACAAAGGTGAAGTTGCAGCCAGGAAAGCAGCTAGTAAACAATTCAGTGAGGTAAAGAATATGATGGGGAGTCAGCAGGTAAAGACAGCTTGCTTTTTTAACACTAGGGAATTTGGTTTGGTTGAGAGGGTGGAGAAAAAGGTGAAGAAAGGAAAGATCTCATCACTGAGATAACTGGTTAAAAATCTTAACTGACTTTGAAGTGAAACTTCAGTATTTGAACCTGACAAAATTATGGCGATTGATTCTGGATTCAGGTTTCAGTGTACACAGTAACATGGGGCAAAAGCCACGTCTCTTGTCTTAAGAAATCCACAAAGGAAACAATGGTTACATTAACTCCCATATGTCACCCAGTGGCACTAGGATTCTTTATAGGTAGGGACTTTGGAGTTGGCATATACAACTCATGATACAGGTAACTACAACTGACTTTGCTCATTTAAAGGTGCATTAACTTAGTACTCTGTGGCAATGAAACCAACAGTGCCATATACATATTTCTATTTTTTGAAGAGTAATAAAGAGCCAGTATACAGAGACAGTTGTTTTTTTCAATGTGGTACAGCTGCAAAATAGTGCTTTCAGAGGTGGATGCTGCCCATTTTGTGACAAAAATACACATATTCTTTAAATCTTCCACTCAGCTCACTGTTTATGAAACAAAGTATTCGAACAACAATTAGCATGAACTCAGTTATGGTTGCTCATGGGAGGTGAGGGTGAATATTTAAAGACAGGTTTCACTGGGGAAGGAGAGGTGTTTAAAGCCTTTCTCTGCTTTGC